GGGACCCCCACCCTGATCCAGGACACCCTTCAGGGCAAACCAGCCGGCCCCCACCTGTGCACCAGGCCTCTATCCTGTATAATAAAAGGGTAATATGCAAATTGACCCTAAAAGCAGAAAGACTGGGAATGACTGGTCACTATGACACACACTGACCACCAGGGGGCAGACGCTCAATGCTCAGCCACAAGCCAGGCTGACGGCTGCCAGTACAGCGGTGGTGGTGGGAGCCTCTCCCACCTCCTCAGCAGCACTAAGGCTGTCCGACTGCAGCTTAGGTCTGCTCCCCGCTGGCAAGTGGACATCCCCTGAGGGTTCCCGGGCTGCCAGAGGGATGTCTAAGCCAGCAGGTGGACATCCCCCCGAGGGGTCCCAGACTGCAAGAGGGCATAGGCCGGGCTGAGGGACCCCCCCAAAGTGCACAAATTTTTGTGCACCAGGCCTCTAGTAATAATAATAATACCAAAAACAATAAAAAGGGAGATGGCTTAAGGATGGAGAGCAAAGGATAAAATCTTTCTAAAATCTTACCAGCTTTTTACTACCCTGCTTTGAACTAGGCCAACGTCTCTTTTAAGGGTAAAGACAAATTCTAAGTCAAGCTAACTATAATGTTTTTAGCCAAACAGGTATGTCATGGCAAGACATGACAGGATAAGCACAACAAATACAGGATACAAATATTCCTTACCAACTGATAATTTATGACATTGCAATTAAAACCAAGGTTGACTACAAACACTAGTCTCTTTGCCAGCTATTCCATACCTGAAAGCATCTCTGGTCGATTAGGGCCTGCTGCTGGTTATCTTTGAGGGAGTCATCTTTTTTCTCTGTGTCCTCCGTCTTTTGACTGAGACAATCTTGTAATCTAGAGGGGGAAAAATCAAGATAATACAAAATTCTTTCCTACATACTGGATTAAGATAACAAACTCAGTCAATGATCCCGCTACCCTCCCAACAGCTTTATAACATTTTATGTATGTGTGTGTGTGTACATGTGCTCACACACATGCATACATGCATTTTTTAAAATTTAAACCATATTGTCACTGGAAATAAGAAGGTCCTCTCAATAGACCACAAATTAGAAGGAATTGCTGATAACAAAAGGGATCAGACTGAAGAAGAAAGTTCTAACCACTCCCCAACACTTGCAAAAAATATAGAATAGGAAAGAACTACAGTAAAGAATGGAAGCAGCTTCTAAGGGATCCAAGCTTGGAAGCTACAGAGAAAGGAAGCAAGAAGCAATGGGTAGGACAACTGGTTTGGGCACTGAATCAGCAAGAGCTAGAGCAGTGGTCGCCAACCTTTTGGACCTCACGGACCACCAGTGGTCCATGGACCACCGGTTGGCAACCACTGAGCTAGAGAGTATAGTTCTTCCTTCTTCATGCTCCACAGATACCATGATGCATGGGCCAGTCAAGAGGGCATGAAAACCCAAGAGAACATTCATTATTCCAGGTGGCTACTAGAACGCTGGGGGAATCTCTTTGCCTAGAAACCTAACTATGTATGAGTGTATCTACCTAGTAGCCAACCATTGCCCTTCTCCAAAAATTTCTGAAGTCAAACTGTAGTAAACATTCCTCCTTCCATCCTACCTTTGAAAAAACAGGTCTATTTATACCCACTTCAAATTAACTATCTTAACTTTGAGTATGCCTATCAGTTTCCTACAGAACCTTGACTCATCAAACTGATTCCATGACTCATCTGTAAAATAGGATAGCAATATACACCATGTCATTTGCCTGCTAAAAAACAATCAATTGCTTACCACTGCTTTGTGAATTAAATCTAATCTCCTTGGGTTAGCATTTGAATCTCTCCATTCGGTTAGTCCTAATCCAATATTCCTACAGACTTCTTTCTTACCTCATCTCTTACTACTATCCTACAATTATCTACTCCAGTCACATGTATTGCCCTTGATCTTCACTCAATTGCTCTTCTCTGCTCTCTGGTGAGTATATTACAAAATAAAAATAAATTTAATTAATGGATTAGCTCTAGGTAAAAAGTCAGTTTCTTTCCTCTTGTACACACAAAGACCTCATAATCCATTTTCCAGTTGATTTCCCACCTATTTTCCATATTCACATACTTCACAGCTTTGCCTATAGGCAGTCAAGAGCATATTATCTAGAATACAAGAGACAGAAAAGCCAATATGCTCTCTAGTGGGAATACAAGTAAACCGATATATCTGAATTTAAATGTTAGTTAACTTTACAGTCTTGCTCCTTAAACCTCTGGAATGTTCAAACTGAGCAAAACAACCTTTGGACTAGGCCTAAAACATCACTGTATTTCAAACAACTATTTGTAAAGCTAACAGGAAAGCTAATTTTCAGACACTCTGGACTGAAAATTAAAGACATTCTTTAGAATTAGCACCACCATATGTAGCTAAACAATAACCTAGCTTACGTGCCCCTATAGACATCCCTTCCTTTACTTACTAACATCAATAGAAACTCCTACCTTCTATTCATGTAATTATTCCCCTTCCCTTTCTCAAAAACCATTTGCCATTAACCCCAATTGGAACACTTTGGGTTTCCGCCTGAATCAGTGCTTCCTGATTAACTATTCTTTTGGATTTCAAACAAATGCTTGTCGCTCACTGTGGCTTTTTAGATTAACACTTCTATTCACATAATTGTTCCCTTCCTTTTCTCATAAAAACCCCTTGTTTTCACCCTGTAATTGGGACACTGTTGGAGTTTCTGTCTCAATCTGTATTAAATTCTTTTTTATCCCACCAAAAATGCTGTTGTGTCTCATTTTGGCCTTTTTTTTTTTTAAGTTCTTAGTTTATTAATCCTCTCATGAAAAATCTGCACAATTACCACAGAGAGTCACTGAAGAATCTTGACTCGTTTTTGCCAGCACCAACATTGGCCTTTGTAGTTGCCGACTTTCTTCATTCTGTTCCTGCATTCCTTTCACTGTTTTCTTGAAGTCGTCTCTTTTCATAGAGACCTTGTTTGACAAGTCTATGTTTGAGTTCATCTTTCTCTACATAATCCAAGGACTCATAAATCATCCCGAAGCCAGTAGTCTTGCCATCCCCAAAGTGAGCTCTGAATCCAAATACAAAGATAATATCTGGTGTGGTCTTATCCATTTTGGCTAGCTTTTCCCCAATTTCTGTCTGAGGTACTATTGCCTTGCAGGGTGAAGGACATCAATGACCATTTGTTTCAGCACAAGCAGTCGACTGGTCGTGAACTTTCTGGTCCAGCTAGTTACTGTGTCATTCATGATGGTGGCTGACCTTCAAGCAGTCAAGGAGGAAAAGCTTTTTTTTTTCCAATTAAGTTAATAATGTTTGAGAAACCTATATTGTAGCAGAATAGGCTGTACTCAGAAATATGCTAGAGTTGTTTTGTAGTTTCCAAAGCAGTGAGCAGGGCCTGAAGGCCATAAAAATCCCTAAGAGTGACTAAGGGATATTTTGTGTACTTAGCAGACACTCATTCCATGTAGACAACTGCTTCTTTGTGGAGTCTGGGAAAACCAGAAAACTGCACTTCCAACTTAAAATATGCTGTGTTATCTCCATACGATAACTTTCTGTGTGCAGGCACTTCAGAGCTTTCAACTGTATCTGTTGAAGCCTTTCCATGATCTCATGTGATTCCATTCCGAAGATGAGGAACGAGTTGAAAAGTGGAAAGCCAATTTTATTTTTAAAATCACGCTAATTTAGCCACAATGATACAAAACACATCTGCATCAATGTGAGCCTCTCAAAGTTGTATGCTCCCTAAGTCCTTTTCCCTAAACTCCTACAATTTTGTAAATGATTAGGATGAAAAGAAGGATGGTTCTCTTCAGTCTAGCAGTTACAACTCTAAAGGCAACTGTTTTTCTAGGAGGGGAGTCCAGCTCCAGCCCCAAATCCTATGTGTTATCTTTCAGGCCCAAACTGTAGGCAATTATACAGGCTGCCTGGGAAGCCTCATGGAGTAAAGCTGCCCCTTCGCCCCACCAGACTGGGTGCACAGCCTTTGTGCATCACAATCTTTGAAGGGAGTTGCTGTCAAGAATTCAGTCCCCCTAACCTTTCCGCTCCCGGCTGGCCATGCTCATATGCATTTCTGCATTCCTAGCCCAAGTGTCTCCTTTCTGAGCCCTTATTATTGGGGGACTCTGAGAAAGGGAACTTTCACTTCTTAACTGAAACACTTTTCTCCAGTCTGACTCTATTTTTCTACTCCTGGGCCGCCTCCTAGGCCCATGAAACAGTAGGGGTCTTTTGTGCCGGGCTCCTAAGGCACTGAGATGCTTCCTCCCATCTGTTCTACATGTCATTGATGATCCTTGCCTGGTGCCATTCTCTGGGAAAATGGAACACTGAGGGCCCAGCCTTTTTCTTTTTGACCCCTTGCTAACACTACTACAGTAAGTGAATAATACCTACATTGTTAATTTCACTTTGGCTTGTTGGTATAACTGACCACCTCAGTGGCTGTCATCTCAACACTAGGTGATGAGACTCTTACTTTGTTTCCTCCTCCCAAAATACAAATACCACTGAAAAATGAAATGGAACTGTGCTTTGGTTATCTTGCAATGGCAAACCTATTTGATCACTTCCTAGCAACAGAATTTTATAATTAACTTGTTCATAATATTAACTCAAGCAAGAGGAGTCCATGTTTCCCCATGTTAAATTAATCACCTTCTCTGATATTGAAGGTTGGTTAGTTGAAAGGTAACTACAATTCTAAAGGAAAAAAACCTGAATCTTCTTTGATTTTAAAAGGGAAAGAGACTTTCCCCTCCTTCTCTTGTAGTAATTCCTTTGGAAAACTTGTAGTTATAAATCCTGTCTCTGTCTCTTTAAGAATAATGTAAATCACCAACAAAAAGCCATCTCAGAGAAATCAACAAAAAGCACACAAAAAAAGAAAAAAGAGTGGCAACTGTGATAACAAGAAGGATGCTGTGGCTCAGTTAGTTGGGCATCCTGCACCAGGAGGTTGCCAGTTCAATTCCCAGTCAAGGGCACATGCCCGGGTTGAGAGCTCAATCCCTGGTAGGGGGTGTGCAGGAGGTGACGATCAATGTTGTGCTCTTGCATCAATGTTTTTCTCTCTCCTCCCTTCCTCTCTCTATAAATCAATAAACTTCTCTTTAAAAAAAGAATGTAAATTTTTAAGATTTACATAAGCCTCTTGCCAATTTTACATCTCTGTAATGCCTGCCGTCAAAGCTTTGGAACCATCTCTCTGAATGTGGACATCAGGGAGGACTGTCCCTTGTCGCCATCCTGTTGGAGGTTATCGAAGGCTCCTGGCTCTGAATTGTAACATCTTGCTTGGCTAAGGTTATGAAAAGTTTTCTTTTTCCTTTGGACAAAGAGAATGTACATGTATGTAATGGACAGCATCTGCCTGGCTGTACAAAAGGGCGAGATCTCTTTCTGTCTTTGCCATCTCTTTAGCAGACTGCCTATAGCACACATCAGTCTGGTTGAATGTTTATTCAATAATGAAACAATTTCTTTTTTTCTATTTATGTAGAAAGGATTCACTGGATTGACAGATTATATTTTTAATTATTTCTCCAACATCAGTTGTTTGAAAAATATTTTACCCCTGCCACTTAAAATAAAAATTTGAAATGTTTTACCTTAAAAAATTTTTTTCATTGGGTGTTTTGTTTGGTTCTAATTATTAGTATGGTGGTTAGGAGTGTGTGCACAGATCTGAATTCTTCTACGTACCACCCATGTGATGCAAGTTATCTAACATTCCAAATTCTGTTTCCACATGTAGGTACTCAAAAAAAAAGATTTTTAAGCCCTAGCCACTGTGGCTCAGTTGGTTGCAGCACCGTCCCATATACCAAAAATAGATTTTTTAACTTCCAAATTTAAATTAAAAATATAATTTCTTCAAATTTAGCAGAAAAATACAGCAGGGATTGGTTCTGAATCATAATTTAAAAGCTAATTGTGAAAAGTAAATCTAAAGACCAGAGCCTAAATGAACAACACAAAACATATTTAGTTCATTCCTATTTGTGGTAGCTATATTCTATAAAGTCACAGATATGCTTATTAAACAATATATACTAAATTAGCAAAGATTAAACCACTACTCCGAGGGGAAACACAGGTCAGGTTCCTGCATGCATCTGGTCACACTTTCTCAACTGTGTGTGAATGTTTAAAGACGGGGCTAACAGCACTATAACTCATGCCTAAATGAAGTTTACCTAGCGCGTGTATTTTTTCTGTAAGGCACATCACAGCCTTCTTGTGTATACAGAAGAGTATGAGCTAAGGGTAGTAAACTGGGGGAAACGCAGATTCTTCTTGGTGTCCCTCTATCTTCAGAGATAAGTTGCTCCTTTCCTCCTGGTACAGGGAGGGTACCTGTCACATGAGGACTTGGGAGCCATCTCAGAGAAATCACCAACAAAAAGCCCCCCCCCCCCAAAAAAAAGAGTGGCATTGTGATAACAAGAAGGATGCTTGTTTACAGTATATAAGGGCTGAAACAAGAGGGCAGAACATCATCTTGTTCAACAGCTGGAAACATTTGTGTTGGGCATGTCCATGAGTGATTATGAAAGTGCGGCAAATACTGATTTGGGGATTAAAAATAAAATTTAGCAGGTAGGCAAATTCACAAATATGCTATCTGCAAATAATAAGGATTGACTCTTATCTCTGTATATATAAGTACATGCATGTGTGTGGGTATGTGTCTTCACTATTATACTTGCCTTGAAGTCAGTAAGATTCCTTTGTAGGGGATCAAGATATGGCACTACAAAATATGCCACATTGACATAAGAAATGTTTTAAGCTGAAGGAATTTTAAAATGGCAGGTGCAGGGCATGCAGGAGGCAGCCCATCGATGATTCTCTCGCATCACTGACCTCTCTCTCTCTCTCATCCTCTCTGAAAATGGCAGGTGCAGGAAGGTCTTTCTGACCTCCCTCTTCTTTCCTGAAGATCATAAAGCCCTCCTATGACAGGTACCTCCCTGTACCAGGAGGAAGGGAGCAACTTTATCTCTGAAGACAGAGGGACACCAAGAAGAATCTGAGTTTCCCCCAGTTTACTACCCTTAGCTCATACTCTTTTGTCCTATCACATTTTCCCACAACTTTCCACTCTTCATCAAACCTGGTATAAAAACACTCAGGTTTAACTGCATATTCAGATCTTCATTTCCTTAAGGATGTTCCTATGTCATATAAAACTTATATTCAATAAACTTGTATACTTTTCTCATGTTAATCTGTCCTTGTCAGTTTAGTTTTCAGGCCCAGACAGAGACTCTAAGAGGGCTAATGAAAAGCTTTTCCTCTCCTACACTTTCTCCTCTGACTTATTACCCTCCTATAGCCTCCTTTTACTAGTTGTTTCTCAACCCAGTTTCCCATCTTGGCTAATGTACCAACAATTACCTAGTTATTCAGGCCTAAAACTTAAGAGTCTTGATTCCCCTCTGCCCCCCAGCTGCCTATATTCAATCTATCACAATCTATCCATTCTAATACTCCAAACACTTTAACACCTCCACCACTGCCACCTTTGATCATGTACAAAACTCACACAATAGCAACTCTTACACTATTTTACATTTAGTACTTTTATATAAAAACTGTCATTTTCACTGGCCTTCTCCCGTTGTGTAATCTCCATGAGAGCAGGAACCTTTTCTATTTGGCTTACCACTGTAATTCCAGTACCCAGATGCCAAGCAGATAGTAGGAGGTTATCATAGGTACCCAAAATGTCAAGCAATAGTAGGAAGGAAAAAAAATTATTAATGGAATGAATGAATGCAGCTTTCCCAAACCTTCACTTCTCTCCTTTTTTAGTTTTCCTTCTGTACTATTTTATTTAATTCAATATATAATTCTTGGATATCCAGAATACTTGCCTTTCACTGTGGCATGTGTTGCCACAGGAAGAAGGAAATACAGCTGTCACTAAAAACTGAATCAACTTATATACAGTTGATATAATAGATCTAATACAGGGGTCCTCAAACTACGGCCCGCGGGCCACATGCAAATACAAATATTTTATTTGTTCCCGCTTTGTTTCTTTACTTCAAAATAAGATATGTGCAATGTGCACAGGAATTTGTTCATAGTTTTTTTTTAAACGATAGTCTGGCCCTCCATCAGTCTGAGGGACAGTGAACTGGCCCCCTGTTTAAAAAGTTTGAGGACCCCTGATCTAATACATATATTAATTCATAGTTTTCAAAATATTTCATCCCAATGATCCCTTAAGTCCCTTTCCCTTGAGTCAAAGAGTACACATAGATAACTTTCAGAAAATATTACCACTAGTAGAGGAAAAATTTTTTGAAACTCCTCTGAGTACGTGCTTTTCAAAGTCAAGAAAGATACAAATGGTGAATATGAATGGATCACTGCATTCATTCTGGTACTTTTAAAGTATGATGAGGCTATATATTCTTCAGGTCATGGCTACCACCATGATTTGGGGCTTGCCATTTCTAATTTCAATGATTCTCTTATAATCCCTCCATGATTTCCAAGGACAATTTTCTAGTTAAAATCTTGTCCATATTAAATTAGGCAAATTCCGTTTTCTTGTTCTTATTTAAGATGAATATATAGTCAAATCCAAAACAGTAGAAATTGTTTTTAAACTGTGGAACCAGAAATACCCCTTTTTAATGTCATTTCCCTCCATCAGCCTGGGAATTTTAAGCCAAGCTCACTATGAGGGAAAATGAGAGGTAATAAAATACAAAAGCCTAATAAATTTGTAACCTCCATAAAATATAATTACTTGATGCTTTTCTTTAGGGCTTTCTCCAGTTTCTTCACCTGTTGTTTATAAAGTATTAATTCATGCTGTGTGGGCCTGTAGAAAATAAATCATATTAAATATATTCAATTTATTAAAAAACATGTAAGAATATTTAATAATAAACAATAGTATACTTTACTCTTGTCACAAATATGCTTATTAAAATTCTTAAAATATCACACGACTGCTAGTGAGGGTTCATTGGCCATTGGATTTCTTCTCTATTATTTTCTATTCAAAACTTTTTACCCATTTTTATCGTTGTAAACCTATTATCTGTTTATATGTGAAATATTTCAAATGTACAGACAAGAATAAATAGTAAAACAAATAGTATTTTACAAATAGTTTTACCATATTAAAATTAAATATTAACAGATTTGGTTCAAATCTCTTAACTTAGGTCAGTGGTTCTCAACCTTCCTAATGCCTTTAATACAGTTCCTCATGTTGTGGTGACCCCCAACCATAAAATTATTTTCGTTGCTACTTCATAACTGTAATTTTGCTACTGTTATGAATCGTAATGTAAATATCTGATATGCAGGATGTATTTTCATTGTTACAAATTGAACATAATTAAAGCATAGTGATTAATCACAAAAACAATATGTAATTATATATGTGTTTTCCGATGGTCCTAGGCGATCCCTGGGAAAGGGTGGTTCCACCCCCAAAGGGGTCGCGACCCACAGGTTGAGAACGGCTGTCTTAACTAAAACATTATACATATACTTAACATTGCATGTGTGTCCATTATTAATGCCATTCCTCTCTTTTGCATAACACAAGTAACCACTATTTCAAATTAACTGTTCATGATTCCCATACATGTTTTAAAATTTTTATTATTTATCTTAGGAATTTTAAGCCAAGCTCACTATGAGGGAAAATGAGAGGTAATAAAATACAAAAGCCTAATAAATTTGTAACCTCCATAAAATATAATTACTTGATGCTTTTCTTTAGGGCTTTCTCCAGTTTCTTCACCTGTTGTTTATAAAGTATTAATTCATGCTGTGTGGGCCTGTAGAAAATAAATCATATTAAATATATTCAATTTATTAAAAAACATGTAAGAATATTTAATAATAAACAATAGTGTATACTTTACTTGTCACAAATATGCTTATTAAAATTCTTAAAATAGCACACGACTGCTAGTGAGGGTTCATTGGCCATTGGATTTCTTCTCTATTATTTTCTATTCAAAACTTTTTACCCATTTTTATCGTTGTAAACCTATTATCTGTTTATATGTGAAATATTTCAAATGTACAGACAAGAATAAATAGTAAAACAAATAGTATTTTACAAATAGTTTTACCATATTAAAATTAAATATTAACAGATTTGGTTCAAATCTCTTAACTCAGTGATTCTCAACCTTCCTAATGCCGCGACCCTTTAATACAGTTCCTCATGTTGTGGTGACCCCCAACCATAAAATTATTTTCGTTGCTACTTCATAACTGTAATTTTGCTACTGTTATGAATCGTAATGTAAATATCTGATATGCAGGATGTATTTTCATTGTTACAAATTGAACATAATTAAAGCATAGTGATTAATCACAAAAACAATATGTAATTATATATGTGTTTTCCGATGGTCTTAGGCGATCCCTGGGAAAGGGTGGTTCGACCTCCAAAGGGGTCGGGACCCACAGGTTGAGAACCGCTGTCTTAACTAAAACATTATACATATACTTAACACTGCATGTGTGTCCATTATTAATGTCATTCCTCTCTTTTGCATAACACAAGTAACCACTATTCCGAATTCACTGTTCATGATTCCCATACATGTTTAAAAATTTTTATTATTTATATTATCATAATTTTCCATATTACTATGTGGCAGGTTGTTAAAATTTATATAAGAGGTTTATACTACAGGTATCAGTGCCCTCTCCATTAAAGTATAAGCTTTATGAGAACAAGGTATTCGTTTTGGTCATTACATTATACTAGAGCTTAGGAAAGTGTCTAACTTATAATAGATGTTCAACAAATATTTGTTGAATTAAATGTCGCATTCCTTATTAATCACTGTACACATGTAGAGTCTCATTCTTTTGTGGTAGTATGCTATATATAAATATACCTTTCTATTGTATGCCATTTAAACTTTTCATTTTATTCTTCTCCCATAACATAAGGATAAGATGAAATAATATGTCCTAAAGGAATTTGGGGATGGGAAACCTACTAGTATAAGAATCTACTACTGAATCAACTCTGAGCTCCTACCCAGTTTTATCTTTTCAATGTACTCTTATTTTCTCACTTCCCTTGTCTACCTATGTGTTCTTATTCCTTCCATTATAAGACAGACAACTGACTAAAATGAATATGAGAGTATGAATTTCCTCAAGATTAGTTTTAGAGTAAAAGGGCTAGAATGACTCATTTAACATTCTAAATTCCAGTATGTGTTTACTTTTCAAAGGTTACATATAAATTACTTAAGTTTCTCTCACCTGGTTTCCAAATCTTTTTGGAGATTCAGCTTTTCACTTAAAAGTGCATCAATCTTAAATTTTGATTCCTTCAGTTGATTCTGTAATGACTGCAACACATTTCATAAAAAAAAAGTTAACTTTTCTACATGACTACTTCACTTTATAAAAAAGTATGTATGAGTCAGGTAGTCCCTGTACCAGTAGAAGGCCTTTATAAGTTGGTGAGGCATCAAGGCTGCTGTAGTCTTCTTCCGATTGACTTTCATCTTCTTTATATTGCCTATGAAAAAATAGATGCAGTACACTTATGAAAAACTCTATCTTCAAAGGAACAATTCAGCTAACAAAAATTAAATCAATCTAGTAACATTTTGATAACCCAAATATGAATTGAAATTTAAGCCAAATTTCCTACTTGTCCTTATAGAGAATGGTATTAGGTATTAGGTACTACTACCTAATAGTAATATATCTGCTATCATCTTAATTAAAATATAAGAACAATGGAAACCAGAACTTTGTCATGTTTGCCATGGTATCTCATTTTCTAGAAGAGTATGGAGCCTAAGAGTGAATGAAAAAGCACTTGTTGAATGAGTAAACAAACAAAGCATACTGTTTTTTTCCTTCTAGTACTTTTATGTCACCAAAATAACTATATGAAAAAACGTAAAGTATAAGTGGATATTTTATTTCCCTTAACAGAATGCAAAATCCTAGAATGTAAGGATCCTACCTAAAACTTTGTCCTATCTCTGTAGAAGCTAACACCATGCCTACCATCTGAAACATAAGTTTCATTTGAAAACCAGAAGGTCCCTGAAGTTACTTATAATACTGCTTTCTGAATAGAATGAAGCAAGGAGTTACTCTACCATGAGCTGTTCTTTTCTTGTCTTCCCTTCCTTTCACTTTTTTCCACTTCTTCCCTCCATCTGCTCTCTTTTTTAAAGAGTCTCAAGGGGCTAGAAGGAATCAGCAACCAGCACAGCTCTGTCACTGGTCCTGCTGAGTTTCTGGAAAGTTATTTTTCTTAAGAATACTAGAATGTATGCTTGATGAAAGTGGAGATTTATCTGCTTAGTTTATCATGGTATCCTTAGTCCCTAAACCAAACCATGGCACAAAGAAGGTGCTCAAATAAGTATCTGTTAAAAGAACTGTCCCATCTATAAACGATGAAATAGAATAGCTACTATTTTAATGACCGTATATGAAAGCACTTTAGGTTATTTGGCCTTAGATTATTCAGCTATTTTAGGTTAATTGAAGACCATTATTTTTATCTTTACCCTTAATTTCTTTAATCAGAGGTAAACTGTGTTTTAGTCTATATGCTTGATTTTTCACTATGACATTTTATCTTTAGCTCATATAAATCTGCACACTAATTAGACTGCACTTTGGTAGATGACTAGTCTAATTATATCACTTTGTGAATATACTCAGTATCTATCTGATGGCTTGATGACATCAAACAGAATAAATTATAATACTTTAAAATATACAATAAATCCTATTTCTTCTGTAACCAATATTTTGGTGAAATAAATATATATTTAATATAAATGCAACAACAGATTTTAACATAAGTAGTAAAATACAGTCTTCAAGAGCTTTATTAAAAAATTCATAGTTACATATTAGGTAGATTTCCAAAGCATATTTTAGGTTTCAAAAGGCTGACTACTTTTGGTGTGATTCACAACTGGATAGTATTTTAAAAATTGCCATACAGGACTAGTTATACCTTTGTTTATGAAGTTTTCTAATTTTGGATTCATAGTAGTCAATTAGGCAAAGCAACCTAGAAAACAGGAAATAAATTATTTCAAAATGTGATACTGTAGCATTTATTATTCTTTCTACATAATTTCAAATTACAGTGATAAGTGTACAGATAATCTAGCAAGTTTATAAAAAATTTAAGTGGTTTTGCCAGAAGTATTATACTAAATCATATATTATATTACTTTCAAAGTATAGTTTTAAAAATAACCACAATCATTATATTTCAGCATATTAAATGTATATTCTCGTAGTCCCAACAGTTCTACCTGTAGCAATCACTCTCACAGAAATATATGCCCCAAGGTTGTAGTCAAGATGAACAAAGTTGCTCATTGCACCATTATTTAGAAAGGTGAAAACACAGAAACAATTTACTCTTCAACAAGGAAAAAGTTAAATAAATAATGGCACATCCATACTATAGAAAATGATGAAGCGTTAGAAAAACAATGTATATTTGTTTGTCCTAATAAGGAGTAAGGGAAAAATTAATGTTGCATAGCCAAATGTATACCACTACTATTTTTTAAAGAAATAATTGTATGTGATTTTGTATGTGTATTGAAAAAGAACTCTATAGGTTCTTAACGGGGGGATAATACTATAATCTAGGGAACAGAGTTGGGGCTGCAGACTGACTGGTTGGGGAGAAGGCAAGATATTAAAATTTCATCAATGAGCATGACAGCCCTACACAATAATAAACTGTCCCACCCAAAATACCAAGAGCCCTCCTGTTGTGAAACACTAGGAAGGGCACAAACCAAACGATTAACGTGGTTATCTCTAAGGTGTGGTAATTAGGAGGGACAGGCAGGTCTATAACATTTTTAAACACTTCTATATTATTTGAATTTTTTAAAGCATGTACTGCTTTTTTAATTTAAAAAATCCTCAAAGAAAAATAAAATAACACTATACTTTCACATGTTATTCTTTTTAAAATAAGAATTCATACTATTTCTCTCCTATCTTGGGAAATTTACCAATCTCCTGCCTTTAAATCTAAATCAGCTAATTGTGCTTGTAATACTATAACTTTATGGATTAGTCTTTCTTTTCAACCTTTCCCCATCCCAACACATACCAGCTTACATATCATCCTTTCTATCCTTCACAAGCCCTCTCATCCCCACACTTCCCTCTTAAGCTACCATTCCATTCACATGTTATTCTTTTTAAAATAAGAATTCATACTATTCCTCTCCTATCTTGGGAAACTTACCAATCTCCTGCCTTTAAATCTAATTCAGCTAATTGTGCTTTTAATACTATAACTTTATGGATTAGCCTTTCTTTTCAACCTTTCCCCATCCCAACACATACTAGCTTACATATCATCCTTTCAATCCTTCACAAGCCCTCTCATCCCACTTCCCTCTTAAGCTACCATTCCATAAACCCCTTAAAAATGATTACACAGCAATTTTAAAAAGAATAATATATAAACCTACAAGGTATTTGAAAACGCACATTATAACTCGAATGGCAAAAAATATCATGAGCGGATAAAGAGTGGAAGCAAAGACCAAAATGAAACTGTGTGGAGATAATGGGATGCGTGAGGAAAAACAAATCTTACTTTAAATACTGGCTTACATGTTAATGTCAGCCTAGTGAATAATAATGTTTAGAACTCTGAAGTTCCCTTTTAAACATAAATAACTTTTCCACCTCCAACTGATCTGCTTTATAAATTTAGATTTTTTTACCCACTGGGTTTTGCTGACCATGCAGATAGAAACCAAGGGTAAGACTTTGTTGTATGTCAGATGAAAAGAAAAGACACGGGCTGGTGAACTTAAAAAGAAAGGCGGTATTGTGAAAGGAGAAAAGGCCTACCATATGTTGACAAGAAGAGAAGGCAGGCACAGGAGGCTGAAGCCCATGTGAAACAGAAAGCAGGTGTGCTTGGTGCCGCCACCCCACAGACACACTGCACAGATAGAAATCAGACACAGGGTGACACAGCCTTTCGTCCACAGAGCATGTCACACTTCTTCAACATGCTTGCACATAAATTATCTCAGTAGACAGCAGTTGGCCAGCACTATACTAGTAGATGTTTAAGCGTTGAGCTGTCAATAAAACTGGAAGACCATATTTAGAATCATGATAAGCCAACGGAAAAGAAGGCAAAGCGCAGAAATAGAAAGAGTGAGATCTGATGTGAGAGAGAGAGAGAGAGATGATAAAGCGCATGAAGTCACGCCCCCAAAGTGTGAAGGCTGGCAAGCTTCAGATCCAGCTCTGGGCTCGTTCACAGCGAAGGCACAACATGACTGACTGGCTGAAATCAGACATGCGTAGATCCATAAGGCTCAGGAGGAAAAGCAAGGGGAAAGGAAGGAATCCCTTGTGGAAACTCAAAATTATGGAGTGGCACGGGAAGGGAGAAGATCCAAGGAAAAGGATTAAGAAAGAGCAGTGAGAGCTGATGAGGGGAAGACAAAATTCATTCGCTGAGATCAAATGAGAGCTAAATGTTACAAACGGCAGAGAAAATCAACTGAAAACAGCAGGCCTCAACAAAGAAAGACGTTTCTAACACAGACAAGAATGTACACATGAGGAAGAACGGAATCAGAAAATAGCAACCAGCTTGGCAGTTCATTCACATCCTGTTAATGTCAAAGTGGAAAGAAGCCGTGGCCGGTTTGGCTCAGTGGATAGAGCGCCAACTGAAGGGTTCCGGCTTCGATTTCAGTCAAGGGCATGTACCTGGGTTGCAGGCTCAATCCCCTGGCTTGGTCAGGGCATAGGAGGCAACCAATAGATGTGTCTCTCTCACCTCAATGTTTCTCTCTTTCTGTCTCTCCCTCTCCCTTCCATTCTTTCTAAAAATCAATGGAAAAGCATCCTCAGTGAGGATTAACAAAAAAAAAAAAGAAAAAGAAAAAAGGCAAGGTGAGAAGCAGCAAAGCCAAGAGAGAAGCAGGGGATAAGTGAAGGTGACTTGGACCAGAGTGGAGACTAAAAGAAGAAGTTTTGGAGAGGAAATACAGGAACTCAGTTTTAGACATGTAAAGTTCTAGATGCCTATTAGTGATGTCAAGTGGTAGTGGGAAATGAGGCAGGAAGTAAGAGAAGAGGTTTGGACTATAGATTTAAATTAGGTGCTAAGAAAGACTGAGCATCACCAAGGGAGTTAGAGTATATAGGGAAGAGAAAAGGACTAAGGAATTACTACTAGGGAATCCCAACACTGAGAGGTTAGGGAGATGAGAAGAATCAGCAGTGGGGTTAGAGGGAAACCAAAGGAGAAAATATTCTAGAAACAAGGGAAGAATCTCAAGAAGAAACAGTAATAGGCCAAGTAAGGTAAAGACCATTGAATTAAGCAACATGGAAGTCACCTGTAACCTTGATGAGCTGTATTATACTACTATTATGTAAGAAAATATATAACTCAGTACCTGTAAAGCTTTATGCTCCTTTTGAAGATCTTTCATTTTATTCTGCTGCTGGCAAACTCTATTTATGGATTCATCCTCCAATTCACCAATTTTGGATTTCACACCCTCCATTATTTCTTCCAAGTCATTAGCTCGTTGTTCCTGATCTACTGCTCGGCATTTTTCTAGTTGAAGTTCTTTTCTAATGATAGACACACAAGTCCTTCCTTAGTAATAAACATAAATCACATCAACAAATCTACTCATCTAATAACATAATGAATTTCTAAAATTTCTTTGCTAAGCTATCACCAAAAGATTACCTATTAAAAATATTTATATTTGTGCCCTATCTGGTTTGGCTCAGTGGAAAGAACATCGGCCTGTGGACTAAAGGGTCCCGGGTTCAATTCCAGTGAAGGACACATGCCCGGGTTGCAGGCTCAATCCCCTGTGGAGGACGTGCAGGAGGCAGCCAATCAAGGATTCTCTCTCATCATTGATATTTCTATCTCTCTCTCCCTTCCTCTCTGATATCAATAAAAATATATTTTAAAAATAGATATTTGTATTTGCATCCACCTAGATACAAAAAATTCAAGAGAGGTCCCCCTACCCCATTTTCTTACTTAAGCTGCTGATTAGTTTCTATGAGCTCCTGGATCACATTCTGTTGACGCGCTGTTTCTTCCATCAACGTTTGCAAGTTCTGTCTCATCCTTTGTGATGACCGTTTGTCAAAAACGATGAGATCTATATTTTTTTTTAAATAGAATACAAATAGTAAAAATAAAGGTAAGGCAAAAAATTTTTAAGAAAAAAATATTGTAAAGGAAAAAACAGCTTTTTACCATCAGGGGCAAGAATAGGATCTGGTTACCTTTAAGATCTGTTCTTTTGACTAGAACTAAAGGTTTTAAGCCATGCGTCATCAACAGCACATTTATGCTCTCCCATTCTGCTTCTTCCTGCTACAATCACAAAGGAGGGAAAAGGATCAAGTTTATGATATAAGTGAAAAAATACCTTCTTGTACATAATTTCCTTCATTTTCAGAATAACATAACTTTTTCTCCAAAAAATTTTAATATTAAGTTTTGTGTACATACAATAATTAAAATTAAAACAAAACAACTAAAAAAACACTGTAATTGCAGTGAATCAAACAGACCTTGGGTTTTTCATTTAACTGAACCAGATCAGGGCCCACTCAAAAGAAACAACTGCAAACTGAGTTACATTAATTGAATAGTAAAGAGAAGGTGAGTCACTTGGAAATAAGTGTCATTTTAACAATGATTAAGGACACACACACACAATAAAACCATATCTGAATGGTTGGAGCCAATAATTTAAATAGATCGTATCCATTATATAAGAAACTAACTATAAAAAGGAGTCTGTCCATTCAGGTAACCGATTTGAGTAGAGTCATTCTGAGTGATTCTCTTTTTTTTTTTTTTTTTTTTTCCTGAGTGATTCTAAGTATGTCATTATGCCATAAAGCTGAGAGGAGAACTCTAACTCTCTAGCTTAAGTGAATAAAAATATAATGGGGCCCTGGTTGGTTTGGCTCAGTGGATGGAGTGTTGGCCTGCAGACTGAAGGATCCTGGGTTCAATTCCAGCCAAGGGCGCTTGCCCCAGTTGCGGGCTTGATCCCCAGTGAGGGCATGCGTGAGGCAGCCGATCTACAATTCTCTATCACTGACGTTTCTGTCTCTCTCTCTCCCTCTCCCTTCCTCTCTGAAATCAATAAAAAAAAAATAAAATAAAAAACATAACAATGGGAAGAAAAATGAAATAAGGACATAAAAGATGGATCAGGCCTGGAAGATGTGGCTCACTAGTTGAGCGTCAACCTATGAACCAACAGGTCATGATTCGATTCGCTGTCAGGGCACGTGCCTGGGTTGCAGGCTCAATTCCCAGTGAGCAGCTGATCGGTGATTCTCTCTCATCATTGATGTTTCTATCTCTCTCTCCCTCTCCCTTCCTCTCTGAAATCAATAAAAATATATTTTAAAAAAGATGGATCGGAATAATAGAGATAATTTTTTAAACGACACATTTTAAATCCCTGATATTGACATAGTTTTATATGGGCTTTTAATGTTACATACAATAATCAATTTTGAAATTACTGTGTGAAGTGCTTTGCATGCTCTTTAATGTATTAAAGAATATTTGTAAAAAGCCAATTTGAGTGACTTTTCAATGTTTAAATGCTTGAAAAAATGTAATTTATACAATAAATACATTTTTATTACTGGTATAGTATGTAAATACTTTAACAGCTTAAAGGTTAATAATTTAGACAGACAAGGCACGAATAAAAGCATTACTCTTCACATCCAAATGCTCCTCTGACATTAAAGATTCTATCAAGACAAAAAAGGAACAAATTACCCTAATGACTCTTTGACAGCATTATGACCCACAGCACCAAATAAATCTTCCCTTTTGATTGCTGACTTTCTTTCCCTTCTTTATCTTTTCTACACTTCTCCTCCTTCCCCAAACCTTTCCTCTTATTTATGCTTAGGTCTTCTGGTCACAAAAATTAATGACACAGAACTAGAATTGTTACTGATAGCCTGGCTGGGTAGCTCAGTTGGTTACAGTGTTGTTCTGATAAGCTCCCCAGTCAGGGTATATACAAGAAGCAACCAATAGCCCTAGCCGGTTTAGCTCAGTGGATAGAGCATCAGCCTGTGGACTGAAGGGTCCTAGGTTCGATTCCAGCCCAGGTCACATGCCTGGGTTGTGTGCTCTATCCCCAGTTGGGGGCATGAAGGAGGCAGCCAATCAATGATTCTCTCTCATCATTGATGTTTCTATCTCTTTCTCCCTTTCCCTTCCTCTCTGAAATCAATAAAAATTTTTAAAAAGCAACCAATAAACGCATAAATAAGTGGAACAACAAATTGATGTTTCTGTCCCACCCCCCTCTCAAATCAGTAAATAAAAAAAAGTATTACTGATATCTGTTTTAGGAGCCAAAAGCTCTGTGTGGATATCTCAGTGGAGGTCTAGCTAGTATGACTCATAATGACAAAATGCTTTGTAAATAATAATGTCATGAATTTTGAATGATCAAGTTATACATGTTGCTCCTTATCTTTTCAATTGATTTTTTTAAAAATATATTTTATTGATTTTTCACAGAGAGGAAAGGAGAAGGATAGAGAGTTAGAAATATCGATGAGAGAGAAACATCGATCAGCTGCCTCCTGCACACCTCCTCCTGGGGATGTGCCCGCAACCAAGGTACATGCCCTTGGCCGGAATCGAACCTGGGACCTTTCAGTCTGCAGGCCGATGCTCTATCCACTGAGCCAAACTGGTTAGGGCTGATTTTTTTTTTTTAAGAGCGAGAAGAAGAGAGAGAGAGAGAGAGAGAAACATTGATCGGTTGCTTCCCGCATGCACCCCAACAGGGGATCAAACCTGCAACCTGGTATGTTCCCTGACCAGGAATTGAATCTGAAATCTTTGGTGTATGGGACAACACTCCAACCAAGTGAGTTACACTGGCCAGGGCCTAATACCTTTTAAGAGAAAGAATAACATTAACTGTTTGCAAATTCTGAAAAGAGCTAAGAATGGCATTTTCCAAAGTTATGTGCTGCAGAACACTTTATACTTGAGCCTCCTTTTAGAGACTGATATCTTAGAGTAATGAAATCATGTAATAGTCTTTAACCTGGCATTTCCCAAAATTATCCTAACTAATAATAGAGAAACATGGTAATTGACCATATGATCTCACTCATTTATGGATAATAAAGACCATTATAAACTGATGAATAAAAATAGATACAGAGGCAGAGCAACATTACTGCAGCAGTCAAACTACAGTGGCTACTTTGTTACCTAGTCCACTTAACTCTTGTTACTCTTCTCAGGTAGTGTATGGAGCTATTTAGGGTCAATTTTAGCAGTTATTCTGAAGGGAATTGTGTAGAGCCTATTTCACTGGGGTGGGATAGCCAGAGATATTAGGCTAAATGGGTTGTTGGATTTATTTATTTTGGATTTTATGTTGCTTTTGCTAATCATTCATTGATTCAGTCAAAAAATTTGTGTTGAATTATGTATACTCTGTGTTATCCTAAATGCTAAATGCACTGAAATAAATAACATTTCACATTTGAGACTTTTTATCATTGAGGAATGATTATTTTTTTTTACTTTAAATAATGTTTTTATTTTTCAGTTACAGTAGACATACATTATATTAGTTTCAAGTGTATACCCCAGTAATTAGACATTATATAACTTACTAAGTGATTACCACAATTAATCTAGTACCCGTCTAACACCATACATAGTTATTACAATATTGACTGTATTCCCTATATTGTACTTTACATCCCCATGACTATTCTGTAACTGCCAATTTGTACTTCTTCATCCCTTCATCTTTTTCACCCATCCCTCACCTGCCTCCTATCTAGCAACCATCAAAATGTTCTCTGTATCTATGAGTCTGTTTCAATTCTGGTTGTTTATTTTGTTTCTTAGATTCCACAAATAAGTGAAATCATATGGCATTTGTCTTTCTCTGTCTGACTTATTTTACTTAGAATAATACCCTCTAGGTCAGTGATGGCGAACCTTTTGAGCTCGGCGTGTCAGCATTTTGAAAAACCCTAACTTAACTCTGGTGCCGTGTCACATATAGAAATTTTTTGATATTTGCAACCATAGTAAAACAAAGACTTATATTTTTGATATTTATTTTATATATTTAAATGCCATTTAACAAAGAAAAATCAACCAAAAAAATGAGTTCATGTGTCACCTCTGACACGCGTGTCATAGGTTCGCCATCACTGGCTTAGGCCCACTATCAGTCAGATATCCCCCGAGGGCTCCTGGACTGCTGGAGGGCGCAGGCCGGGCTGAGGAACCCCACACACACACACTACAGTGCACAAATTTCGTGCACTGGGCCTCTAGTTTTACTAAATAAAAGAATCTTTTTACTTTATTTTTCAATTACAGTTTACATTTAATATTATTTTGTATCAGTTTCAGGTGTACAGCATAGTGGTTAGATGATCATATACTTTACAAAGTGTTCACCCAATATTTCCAGTACCCACTTGGCACCATACATAGTTATTACAATATTATTGACTATACTCCCTATGCTGTACACCTGAAATCTTTTAAATTAAGAATTTAAGATTTTTCACATTTGTAGATGTAGTATTATTTGCCACCACATACTCTGGAAACACTGGTTTCAAATATTTCACATTTACCTGTTTTTCAGTCATGAGTCTGTTTGATGATTTACTGGACTGCTGGACTTGAGGGGCTGCTGGAGATATAGTTTTCCTTTGCAGAACCAAAGAAGTAGAGACTGGCAGTGAAAAATTTTGAGTTGCCTAAATTAAAACAGAAAAAAGTGCAAGAGGTGTTAAATGAAATTATACTTAAAAGAACCACTACTCTTGAACAATTTAAGCCATTCCTGTGTCAAAACTTTTGTTACTTCTTAGAAAGCTAATTTAAAGAATGATTAGAATAAACCCTATCTTACAATGTTCTCCTCTAGATATAAAACAATATGGGGTTTTACACACATACCAGCACAAAGAAAAATATTTTTGTTTTAACTGGATATGAAAAGCACATGATGCTAATAAACTGTTTTCTTTTAGAAGCTGCTTTTCAAAAAAACTAAAAGAATTGTGCCTGACCCAAAAGTTACGGGCCAGTCTAACAATTCACTGGACTGACTCCAAGGATGAATGGAATGCCACTTTCTTAGGTGGACTTTATTTCTAAGTAAATCAGAGGTTAGCAACAAAGGATTCTGTTTGACAGGCACACACAAAAGTTTATATTCAGTCTAACCTACCATCATTTGCTCTCATTATCTAAGACTGTACCATTCTATAAAAAAAAAAATTCTTCGGGTTGTTTGATATATAGGTATAATTCCTCCCCTCCAGAGGCACAATCCCACATATTCATTAGCATCATGGAATTTTAGAACTTGAGAGGACCTTGAAAATTGTTTAATACGAAATCTCTAGCTGTTCATAGCTGACAGAAAAGAGTGTAGGGAGAGCTGTACCAATATATCAGGTACCAGAGCCATCTGAGGCCCAGAGAGGTGCAATAATCTTCCAGGACTGATTAGAGGTAGGCCTCCTTCCTGCCAGTTAAATGTTTCATCCAAAGCACCCTTCTGCTTCAGATAGTGAAATCTAACTAAACAATTTATTGGTCACTAATAATTTATTTTTAGCTAAACCTAGTAACATATTACAGATTCTCAAATGCTGCCATTTTTGCAGTTTCACATCAGTCTTTTCTCCCTTTAAACTCTGGTCTCTTTCAATAACTCAATCACCTACTACATTAAACCCTCCTGCCTTTATTTTAAATAAAGATCCTTTTGACCCTAACTGGTTTGGCTCAGTGGATAGAGCATCAGCCTGAGGACTGAAGGGTCCCAGGTTTGATTCCGGTCAAGGGCATGTACCTTGGTTGCAGGCACATCCCCAGTTAGGGGGTGTGCAGGAGGCAGCTGGTTGATGTTTCTAACTCTCTATCCCTCTCCCTTCCGCTCTGTAAAAAATCAATAAAATATATATTTTTTTTTAATAAAAAGATCCTTTTAAAAAATGTCAGCCAACTTCAGTTACTAGCTTTTTAACTTTTCGAGAAATTTTTTTAAAACTACACAAAAGTAGAGAAAGACTATAATGAACTCATGTATTCATCAATCCAGCTCCAATAACATTCTTCTATTCTTGTTACATTTCTTCCTTACCCACTTATATTTCGGTATACATGTCTAACAAATATAGATTCATTATCACACCCAATAAAAATAACAGTAATTCTTTACTATTACCCAATATCTAATCCATGTTCAACTTCCCCAAATATCTTGTGATTTTTTTCAAACAAATTCCATATATAGCACACACGTTTCTTTTAATTTTTAAGTCGCAGTCTCCTTTTTAATACGGCATTTATTTGTTAAAGAAATAGGCCATTTGTCTTCAGAGTTACCGGCATTTCAGATTTAGCTTATTGCATTCTCATCATTTAACATATTTATCCATCTCCTATATTTCTTGTAAACTGGTTATATCTAGAAGCTTTATTAAATTTCGGTTCAGTATTTTATGGCAAGAATAATTCAAAGGTAGTGCTGTGTTCTTCCTACTGCATCACCATTAGTAATCAGCCAAAGTTTAAAGTGGGAAGAATACACCATGTAAACCAGACATAAGGTTAGTAGACATCAATGTAAGAGAATCTCCCAAAAAGCATGGAGCCACATATTCTAACAGTCTTCCAACATCCACCCTGGACCTCTCTCAAATCTTCAAAATGCCATCTCCCTCCATGTTCAAGGCCTAGGAGTTCAATCTCTTCTTCACTTAGTTAACTCATACTTGATCTTCTGATGTCAGCTCAAATTTCCTTCTTCAGGGAAATCTCCCCTGATTCCATGACTAGATCAGGTTCTCGTTATATGCTCTTGTAGCACTATAAAGAATAAAGTATAGAGGTTTAGAGTTCAGAGACAAATGGCCTGAGTGACTACCAGCTTAACCATTTATTAAACTGTGTGACATGGACAAACTCATTAACACCTTTGATCCTTGATACCTTCATTTGTAAAAGAGTAATAATAGTATCTACACCTCAGAGGTTGAATTACATCAGACAACATGTAGAAAGTATTTAATACAAGTGTGTGACACATAGAAATGTGTAGATAATTGGTAGTTGTTAAATACAAGTATGCTGAACAAAATGGAACTTACCTAAGCATACCATCATATATTATCTTAGACCTTTTTCTACAAATTACTCAGCTATCTGTTATAAGTTGTTTTACATAATATGTCTAGGTAAAACTAAATTCCAGGACATTAGTAGTCTTATTTTTTTTTTTTGTAATAGTCAAATAGGCAACCTGCCTCTAAGAAAGCCAAAATAAAACTTTTTTTCTTCTTAAAAGCTTTTTTTTTTTTTGTAATAGTCAAATAGGCAATCTGCCTCTAAGAAAGCCAAAATAAAACTTTTTTTTTCTTCTTAAAAGTATTGAAGAACTAACAAGATAATGAGGAATTACCAGGACAAAAAAAATCACTAAAATGAGAACACAGTTTTTCCCTGAAGGCATTTGCAAATACAAAGAAAAAACTGTGAGAATGAGTGCTAAAGAGCAAAGCCAACTACCATCAACAAATGACAAGTGCTGGCCAGGATGTGGAGAAAAGGGAACCCTAATACAGTGCTGGTGGGAATGCAGGCTGGTGCAGCCACTGTGGAAAACAGTATGGCCCAGCTGGGTGTAGCTCAGTGGTTGAGCATCAGCACAGGAACCAAGAGGCCAATGACTGGATTCCCAGTCAGGGCACTGTCCGGGTTGCAGGCTCGATCCCCTGTGGTGGGTGTGCAGGCGGCAGCTGATCGATGATATTTCTCTCTCATCGATGTTTTTATCTCTCTATCCCTCTCCTTTCCTCTCTGAAAAGTCAATAAAAACATATTAAAAAAAAAACCAGTATGGAGTTTCCTCAAAAAAATTAAAAATAGAACTGCCATTTGACCCAGT